TATGTCCTGACTGTGAATTAGAGGATTCATGGTTCGCGAGTACCGCAACAAACGTATTTTGAGGCTGTGGATGCGTTTATAAAAGTGAGTCGGTCAAATTCCATTATTCAGTTAGACAAGAATAACCCAAGTGATTATTGTTAACTAGGTGCCTTCCAACCAGTCTATGGGTTCTAAATTAAGGACAGCTATATGCAGATATCCCTTGTATAGTCTTGCACAAAATTTCAAAATATGCAAGTGGACTCTTAATGATATTTGTCTGAAGATTTATAACGCTAAAAATCAGGTTTCGATATCTGCAGTGGGCAAAGCACAGATAGACCATTGTGTAACTTTGTGCTTAACAATAAACAAAACACAGTGAAACTTCATGACTAAAGCATTATTGATTTTTAAGTCGTATCACTTTCGTAGAATTTGTTTCATTTACGCAAGTTCTCTCAGCCCAAAACGGGAATTAGTTCGATACTGTTTTGAGCTGAAACCTTTGACAGGTTGTGTCCTTAATTATGTAACCGAATACTCGAGTATATAAAATAGAATTAATCTTGCAATACGTGAAAACGTTCACGATTAAAATTAAGTTGGCTACTTTGATGTAGGTGTACAATATCTTAATTATTTTTATGATATAAATATTTTGTTTGAGAATAAGCTCCTTTAGTTATTCTGAAATTAGTGGCCCACTACAGACTAATTAAAAAGTGAAGTGTTAAAGTCATCAGCCAGTTTGTAGTGATGTCACACCACTTCTTTTATTTTGCAACTTAATATTATGCCAAGTCATTAAAAGACAATTAAGTTAAACAAAGCACCATTAATAACACGAATTATTGATTCCATCACATCATAATATTCGTTATAATTCCTATTCATTTATTATGTAAACATTATGTTCCCATATTTTCTACAGTGACCTCTTGATAGTTTTTAGGTTCCGGTAATATTTATTCATATTTTTTATCTCAAAGTTCAGAGTATAAACTTTCTTTGTCCACAATAAGAGGGAAGATAAACTAGCCACGCCCCATCAAACTGAGATACTTATTGAAGTTTCGTCATCAGGTAAAAACAAGAACAGTTTGTTGCCTAATGATATTCGAAAACATACAGGATCAACAGCAACAGTTAAGATCAGAACAAACAACCAATAACCGGAGGGCTTTCATCAGATATAAATGGCAAATGATGAAGGAAAGTTCAGCTTTCCCAAAGTGCTCTTATTATTGTGCTTGTTTTCTGATCCTAAACAGTTTGTTGTTTATTTTTCACTGTGCGACATTCTGATTCTAGCATGTTATTTGAAATAATTTTAGAAATGAAAAGGTACACATCTTCAGAAAAAGTCGAGACTGTGATTTTTACTTTTCTCTAAAATGATGGAGTGTTTCATTTCAACGTCCTGTGATTTACTTAATGTGATTATGTTTTTTGAAACGAGCACGATTACATAGAGCTAGATCAATAAACTATAATATATTATACACCATTTTTTATGTTATATTAGCTAATAAGAAAAAACCTTAGTTTGTTGTATATAGGCATCATTTCTGATATAAGTTTTCTATTTGTGTGCAGGAACCAAAGGGGCTATAACCACACACTCTCCTATTCTCTTTCTGGATATTCACTTGAAACCTGGAAGCTCATTCACGCATGAAATCCCGCCATCTTACAACGGGTTTGCTTACGTTTGGAGGGGAACTGGACACCTGGGCCACGACTTCCAGCTGGCTAAAACGGGAACTGTTGGTGTACTAACACAAGAAGGAAGCGTGTTTCTCATGAAGGCAGAAGAAAATGAGGGTATGTTTTAAGTACAGATAATGTAAAACACGTGAGACAGTTTACAATAACTTCTGAGTCTGGCATCTTCAAGATTATTACAGTACCATAAAATCTTTCAGAATTTACACGTTCTATTACAACCACAATTTTACATGTTTATTAGTTCCCAATATAAATAGAGTATAGGTAAAGCATTAACTTATTCCACTACCCTAATTCCTTTTTTAAACTGTGGACGGAGTGTAGTCTATTGTGTAGCTTTGCACTAAGAAAACATCAAGAGCAACCTTTTTTACAGTAAATATTTTAACTTATTTGAATTCGATATTTAATTAAGATCGTTAATCCTGTACGATTTTGATATGTCTCTTTTATTGTTTATTTGGATACGATACCTGTACAGTTTCTAACTTTAAAGATAGAGAAGGCACGTCATGAAGGGCATGATGTCTGCCAATTAGTTAATCTATTTTTAAGCCTAATAGTACTTTATAATACATAGTTTCGTTTCTATAGCTAACTATGAATTTTATCAGATATAGACTAAAAGAGGTTTAAATGAAGCCCGGCATGGCTAGGTGGTTAGGGCGCTCGACCCTCAAACTGAGGGTAGCGGGTTCGAATCCCCGTCCAATCAAACATGCTCGCCCTTTCAGCCGTGGGGGCGTTATAATGTGTTGGTCAATCCCACTAT